ACTGGCATGCTAGAGCTTGACTAGGACAGCGCTGGACGTTTAGAAGTATCCAGTAACTGGTCTAAGTCTCACTGGCACGCCAGTTCCTACTTGGGGAAGTCAGTTGTTCGTTGCACTCTTAACAGATACGGCAGCGACTGAACCGATGTATTTATCCGTGTCTACAAGCGCTGGCGCAGGGTAAGAGGGAACGTGGACGAGGACTACTACCATAAAAAATAGACCAGCTCTCCATTCGAGAGAGCGCTGGCAGACAGCGCTGAACTGGCGCAAAAAGTGTTTATATGATACCGCTACTTTGCCTGTCGTGCCAATTACTGGATACGTGTAAACCTACCTTTATTCCTTCTTCTACTTCATACGTGATATTTTTAAACAGCAACAAATTCCTGTTTGGCCTCTTATAATAATATTTGAAACTCTACCTCTTAACGTTAATCACAATATCGACCATTCCATAGCCACTCTGCGTCACTCTGATTTTTTCATACAGTTTTTAGTAGAAATATGTAAATAATGGAAGCACACGTTGTTCAAAAACCTTTCTTTTTAGATGAATCTATTTGTCTTTTCAATTCGCGGATTTGGTTATTTCGGTATGTTCTAGTTTATGGCCTAAATATTTATAAGATATTACGTAGTCTATTTCTGCATTATTTACCCATGTTATTGAATGTGCTAGCCCAGAGACGCATGATCATGATTTGGATTTGTACTTATATTTTGTAGATTTTGAAAAGAGATTTGATAAGGTTCAACATAAAAAGCTTGTAGATATAATAGAAAGCTGTTATACAAAATATTTACAATTGTGACATAAAAATTATTTTTTATCATTAATGGAATCAAACGGCCAGGTAAGATTTGTCAATCAGAACACTCGAGATATCTAAATACAAAGAGGAGTCCACCACGGTTGAATGCTGTCACCACTTCTATTCAATGTGTACAGTGGAGCGGTATTTAAAGAAGCGCTCTTAGATTCAATAAAAGGTATATTTTATCAATGGCGAAATTTTAAATAATTTGCGTTTTTTAGACGATACAGTAAGAATGACGACTAACAACAATGGTTAACAGAACGTAATGCAATGCCCTAATGAATGCTCTCATAAATACGAACGATGGATTTAGTGGACTAAATCAGCAAATGGAAACATCCATTTGATTATAGAAGGTATAATACTGTAATTGAGAGTGTGGATACGTACACATACGTGGATAATGGATAACACAAAAGTAGATCAAACAAAAAAAATTAAGATACGTATTGAAGTAGGATATGCATCGTTTGTTAAACTTAAAAACTTTCTTTATTGTCGCGATATAATGTTAGGACGACGCCTAAGGATGCTTCTTCTTCTTCTTCTTCTTCTTCTTCTGTTTTCTATCCGTTTCGGATGTTGAAAATCATATTGGAGCAATCATAACCTTGCTCGCTCGCTGCGGCTCGAAACAGCTCCGTTGAGGTTTTCTTAAACCATGTTCTTAAATTCCGCAGCCACGATATTCTCCTTCTACCGGGTCCTCGCTTACCTTTGACTTTACCTTGCAATATAGACTGTAGTAGGGAGTAAAGGTGCCGATTTCTTATAACGTGTCCCAGATATTGCAATTTTATGCGTTTGATCGTAAACACAATCTCTGGGTCCTTCTTCATTTTTCCTAGAACTTCCTTGTTCGTGATCCTTGCTGTCCATGATATTCTCAGCATTCTTTTATAAAGCCACATCTGAAATGCTTCAAGTTTTTTAATAGTGGTGTCTGTAAGCGTCCATGCCTCCGCCCCGTACAACAACACAGAGAAAACATAGCATCTCAAATGTCTAATTTTTGTATCAAGGGATATGTTGTGACTTTTTAAGATGGCGCTCATTTTGTTAAAGACTGTTCTTGCCTTTCCTATGCAGCACTTTATTTCCTGTACATTGCTCCACTATTCGTTTATAATAGTTCCCAGGCAACAATACTGTTTTATTCGCTCTATCTGCGTCCCATTAATGTATAGATGAGCCCCGTTTATATTCTCCTTGCTGATAATCATTTGTTTCGTTTTGTGGGTATTAATGTTTAGTCCGTACTGTTGACTGTACTCGTTTATTCCGTCCATTAGCCTCTGAAGTCCCTCTAAACTATCTGCTATCACCATGGTCGTCGGTATATCTACCATTGTTTACTCTTTCACCATTTAGAAGGATGCCTTCGTCTATTCCGTAAAGAGCCAGGTTAAAAATTTTCTCCGAATATATATTAAATATCAACGGCGATAGGATACATCCCTGTCTAACTCCATGTAGTATTTTTATGTGATCTCTTTCTTTTCCGTTAATTTTCATGTATGCGGTCTGATTCCAGTAGTGTTCTGAAATTATTCTGAGGTCTTTGTCATCCAGGTCTGCCTCTTTTAAAATGTTTATCATCTTTTGATGTTGAACTCTGTCAAATGCCTTTTCATAGTCGATCAAGCACGCGTATACGTCACTGCATCTTTGAATCAGTACCTGTACTCCGAAAAGTACCTGTCTGGTAACCACTGCGTTAATGAAGCCGAACTGTCTGTCCGATATTTGTTCCTTGCACTTCTTATAAATTCTTTCATGGATGACTCTAAGAAACAGTTTCAACATGTGGCTCATTAGGCTGATTGTTCGATATTCTTCGCACTTTTTAGCCCCCTGTTTTTTAGGTATCGCTATGAATTCTGATTCTAGCCATTTATCAGGGATGATTCCTGTATTATATATTTTATTAAAGACAGCCGTGATAAAATTTATTCCTTCTTCCTCCAAGAGTTTTAAAAATTCAGCTTCGAGATTATCGGGCCCTACAGCTTTCCTGATTTTCATGTCCAAGCGCGTCATCCTCTCTGAAAATGGATGCCTATAATCCGTTCTTTGATCTTGAAAAAGTGTCTCCAAATATATTCTCCATTTGTCTTTCATCTCTTGGGTGTCAATGATTAATTTTCCATTGGTGTCTATGAGTTTCTTTGTGTTCGCTTTTTAAAAGTACCCGTTATTTCTTTTACCTTTTTGTATACATTAAAATTGTCATGCTTGGCTTGTAGTCTTTCTATTTCTTTATATTTCTCTACAGCTTCTTTTTCTTTAGCTTCTCTTATTTGTCTTTTGATGTAGCCTGCATTTTTTTATACTCATCTTTATTTCCTTTAATTAACCTTCTGCGTAAGTGAAGGATTTCTGGAGTCATCCAAGATTTCTTCTTTGTTTCTTTGTTTGGTTTTAGCAGATCTTGTTTAGTTTTCTTAATTACATATTTCTTCGAATTGATTGATTTCTCGTTGGGTGTTATTTTCTTCTTTTAGTTGTTTAACTTTGTTGTTAATATATTTCCCCACTTGCTTTATAACTTCCGGATGTTGCAGGCCGTCATGTCGTAGTTAGGTCTAGACTTTTTCGTTATTGTCTTTAGACTCACATCCATGACTCCCACTAAAGGTATGTGGTCAGATTCAATGTCCGCTCCTGGATATGTTTTGATATATTTAAAAGTGTTTCTGAATCTTCTATTTACCAGTATATAATCTATCTGGTTTCTAATTACGTTATGGGGTTTATCTGCTGGTGCCTTCCATGTATACAATCTCCTCGGTGGTAGTTTATAAAATTTGTTCAGAACCACTAGCTTGTTATCTTCTGCGAATATTTCTAGTCTGTCACCTCTTTCGTTTCTTTGTCCTAACCCAAAAGGTCCGATTAGAGATGTTTTCCGTTCGGCCCAAGTTTTGCATTGAAATCCCCCATTATGATGCTGACTTCATGTTTAGGTATTCGTTCTAATATATCCTCTATGCTTTGGTAGAGAGTCTTTACTTCCTCGTCGTCTTTATCTGCAGTGGGAGCGTATATTTGTATTTTGTTTACATTCACTGGATTGGCTCTTATTTACAGTAGTATTGCTCTGTTGGACACAGACAAAATTTAAAATACATCTACTAATTTTTCTCGTTATTATCACACCAACTTCATGCTCTAGTTTTCCATCTAGTGACCTGAGTAGAATATTCTGTGATCTTTTTTGTCAATACTTCCTGTTCCGGGCCATCTCATCTCACTTATTCCCATTATGTCAATGGTCATTCTTTCCATTTCCTGAATGGCATTGTCTATTTTTCCACTTCTTGCCATAGTTTTCACATTCTATGTGCAAATTTTTAAATATTGTGGTTTTGCTGCTTTTTCTTTTTCATAGGTACTCATAACTGTCCTGTCGGAGATCCGATTGGGGAACTTACTCCGAAATCGTATTTAGTTGTGAGCATTACCATAGGGATGCTTAGATGTTACGTATTCACTACTTTTGTGGATCTGAATAAGTTGGTGTTACAGAAGAATCCTACGAATATCACGGACTCAAACAATGTCAAACGCAGTTACTATAAGAATAGGAAATAAAGCTGAAATATTACTGACTACTAAAAGAAGACAATTTAAGTACTTGAAAGATTTAATAAAAGAGAGCCAAAATACACATTAATACAACTTATTATGCAATGCAGAACTAGAGGAAAGTAAAATGTGGAAATAAAAAGAATATCGTGGCTCAAGAACTTAAGGGAGTGAACTTGTATAGCAAAAGATTAGGACAAATAAAAATATGTGCTTTGTCTCTGCGTATATCGCAAGCTGGCTACCTATTGTAATACTCATTGTTATAATTTAAAGTCCCATGTGTTATTTGATTTTTAAATATTATTTTATTTAATTCATAAGCTTTAAGCTGGCTGAAAAGAATTCGTTTCATAGACTACTGCATACGCGTTAAACTCTCTCTTTCACTAGTTTAAAAATTTAATACTCATTTAAGCCGTAAATTGTATATTTTAATTTCTTAGACTTACACCGCTGTATAAGAGTAGTTCTTAAAAGTTTTACACTACTTAAAACACCACATCCAAAATATTTCAAATATTAAGAAATATTAATACCAGCCTATATAATTAATTACTTTCTAATAAAAGTTTTATATTTTTAATTTAGATATGAAACCAGCAACGGAATCACTAGGGAAGAAAGTAGCGAAGTGCATTATCCAGGAACAAAACACGAATTTCTTAAAGTGACAGGAATGTTTGCTTATCCAGGTCCAGACGGTGTTATGTACGAAGTAAGATACACCGCAGATGATCAAGGATTCCATCCAGAGGGTGATCACATTAAGGTACCGCCTTTTGTTCCATGGGTTCACCACCATTCCGAAGACGGTTCTGAAAACAACGACATTCCTGACAGTGGTACTGGCGAACAAGTTATAAACTTTGTACAAACGACTGCAAGGCCTAGCACCGAGTATTTACCTTCTTCGACACCAACTAGTACTACTTATTTGCCACCTACTAGTTCTACACCAGAAACTGAATATTCTAGTAGCAACGATATTACGAACGTAAAATCGACTGGAATTAAATCTGGTAATTTTGCTCATTCCAAAGTAATTCCAGACGGTTTTGGCAAACCTTCTAATATTGACTTAAATTTAATTAATCCCAGAATTAATAATATTCTACCCTCAGATATAAATATTGCTGCTAATAATGCTCAAATGCTTTTGAAAAATTTAGCTACTTCACAACCTCAACCTAATATATTAGACAATTTAAATTCTTCACCCTTAATGGCATTAGTTTCTAATCCGCAGATCTTAAAAGATCTTTCACCAGGCAATCCAATTACCCCCGTCATAATTATGCCAAATATGGTCTTATCGACTATTTCAAATGATTTTTCTAATCAACAACTAATATCAGGTGAGCTATTATTGGAAGGTTTAAAATCTGTCAATGACGCTCACGCACAGGTACAGCCAAAAACTAACATTTTGGAAATTTTGAAAGCCTCTCCAATTGCCAATCCTCCTCCAAATTCACAGGAACTCAAAGGCGAGAACATCCTAGACCAACTTAGAACTGCTAGTGCTGTAAATTCAATGTGTTTACAAACATTGGCTTGTAGATATACTGAGCCCAACTTGGGCTCTGAAGGCTCTGCTCCTGGAACCAATATTGTTTACTTGCCTCCCAGCACTGCTCGACCACATGTAGATGACTCGCTCGAAAATAATTTATTGAGTACTCCAAAACCCAATCCTGAGTTGTATTTTCACTCGACAGCTGAATCGCAGACTCAGTTAAGGTTTGCCACTCCAGCTCCACCGACAATGATGCGCAAGGCCAGCTCTATGGATTCTAAAAGTAGTAAATTTACGGCTCCGATAGTGGCTGCTAAATAGAATATATTTTAGTAAAAACGGGTGGTATGTTTTATCTATTATTTTCATTGCACGTTATGTAGTAAATATGACAGATTTATAGTTTTGTCTAATATTCCAATAGTATAGAAACTGTGATGCAAAATATAGACACAACTAGAAATAAACGGAATGAAACTTATTTTATAACACAAGTGGATTAAGATATTGTATTTTTGTGTTAGGATTGTTGTTTTTCTGCAGATAATTTTCTTAGCTCAGATTTTAGTGATAGAACAATTCTTATTGTAGGTTTTCTAGAGTGCATATAGATCAAGTTTATGTATTTCATTTCTATCATTCCTAAACAGTTATTTTATTATTATTAATATAGCTGCTTTTTAAGAATTATATAGGTGAACCAAATAAGATCATTTATTCAATTAAAGAATGCAAATTGGAATATCTTGCAACTTGCAAACAGCGATGTTGATAGCCTATATCCTAAGCAGATATACAATGCAAGAAGAAAACATATTTTCATTTCAACACGCTAATAATCAAATAAAAAAATTGGAGTGAAGATTCGCTGGTCCCTTAAGTCCAATAGCAAATAAGCTAAAAAGAGATGCCACTGATAAAAAGAGTAGCCTTCCAAAAAAAATCAATCTGTTTGAAGTGGATTATTTAGCGTCGACTTTGCTATATAGAAATTATTTTTTGTCGTCGTATTGAACAACGCTTGAACATCTCATATATTAGATAATTTTGTTCTCCTTCATTTACCTCGACACCCATGGAATATATAGACCACAATATTTTTGTGGCTAAGTAGTGACACTACGTTTAGACAATCAGTTCATTTATATTAATTAGTTTTTGTTATTATTATTTTAAAGATACATGTTGTTAAGGTAGAATTAATAGAGTAACAAAATTATTTCTATAAAAATAATTATGTTTCCATTTCACCCGATTGCCCAGTTTGTGCTTACAAGTCCTAACACAACATATATTTGTTACATTATTTTCACTCTAATGTTAAAGATAAGGCTAAAAGCATGACAGATTAAAGATTGGATTCAACCACCCAATAGAAGACGACCAAAAAACCTGTACTGTACCTCTCAAATCAGGGAGAAAATAGTATCGACTTCTCCCCACTCTTTTACTATTAATTTAAGAGATCTAAACTTCGAAGAAAGCCTTTTATTCGTTAAAAAGTTAGTTTTGTTAGCTGATCAGTTTTCAAGAAAATACTCTACTAAATATTTATTGCATTTACGTAAAACTATCTTTGATCGTGCATTTCCTATGCATTTCTGAAAAATGTAGCTGTAATTCAGTAGCTTTGTTAATTTTCTTTATAACTTATGAAGATATTTGGACAAAAACTATCTAGTTTGTAAGCAAAAGGTTTTAATATTATTCGTTTTTGCCTTTTACCTAAAATAAATTACAAGTAAAGCTACCCTTAGCTTTTTAGCAAGACTTTCAGCCATTTCTTTTCTTTTTTTTTATTGCTTTGTCTCCCAACATACTTTATTGAATTGACTCACGATTTTTTTGCAGTACAAATCTGTCACGAATACAGAAGTTATCGAATTTTGACTTTTATCTACCACAATAAATATTAAGGGCAAATTAAGGCAGTTTCTGAGTCTATAGCTACTTGTTCCCTGTGAAATGTTGCATAAGTATTTCCTTGTGCTCCTTATTGTCTAATATTAGGATAAATAATTCCTTCTCCCACTATTTCGCAAACTTTGTCTCATTAATGTAATAGAAGAAAACTCTTCTTGTTATGTGACAGCTAGATAAATAAAATGGATCTTTTACTTTTAGTTTAATATGCAATGTTTATGAACATAAATTTACTGATTATTCGTATATATCCTTAACTAATTCGCACTACGGAAACTATGAAGTGTTGCTATGTTTATAGCGACAATTTTTTTTTTAATAATAATGTGCAATGAAAGTTGTAGGAAAATAATTGTACTTTAACTGAGGATGTAACTTATTTGTGATATTATAAATAGGTAGTTAATAGTTTGGGTATTAATATCCATGTAAATGATTTGGTGGTAGCTAACAAAATGAGTGTTAAAAAATATAATCCAGTTTTAGCATGATTTTAAAACTTTTATTGTTATGTTACATTGTTATTTCGAATTTTAATAAATTTATTTTTATATAGTTTGTCAGTTTTATTGCAAATGTTTTTTAAAATGTATTTTTGTTTTTATTTTAACATTAATCGTCAAACATTTGGAAGAATAAGTGCTAGCCTCTTGACACTATATTTCCACCAGCAATGTCTGATGGTTTATCTCCTTAAAACACGTTGAACACGTAAGTACATAACAAATAATAGGTTTCTGAGACGGGATATTTTATACTGTTTTTTTAACTGTACGTTTACAAGGAATAATCCAATGATAGATTTATCTGCTGAGTATGAACCCAACGGTGAAGTGTTATCTTCAACGAGTGACGATTAAGTTCCCCGAAAATAAAAAAAAGAACCTGTTTTAATTGAAGTATCAAATTCTGCAATTCTGCAACTGATGACAGTTGCACTCATACAGTCCTCGAAGACATACCGTCTCAGGACTAGCAACTTCAACGTGGAGTCATATGTCGCCATGTTACCTAATCCATCGGTAACTTTATAATCTTAAATTATTATAACATATTTTTAGAACTAAATGTAATTAAACATCTGTTAACGGGTTTTTACCCATATATTTAATCTTGGTGGCTACATTCATGTACTCCTAGACACTGATGATGGAACATGATTTCCGAAAACGTTATGTCTTTTTAACTTAGCCCGTTTGGGCCTTAAATATATACCTATTACAAAGGATTTTTAATTAAATTTTTAATACATGGTATACAGCCAACTACAGGAACGTAGATTCCTTGTGAATTAAAACAATAGTAGTCAGCAAAAAACCAACCAGAAGTAAAATAGAAATTGATGCCATCAGTACTGAACAAGTAATAGAAATAGGATTCCCATAGAATTACATTGTCTAGCTATGGAGACCTGGACAAAGAAGTGAGAGATCAAGTAAAAAAGCAAATAGACTGCCAGGATGCCTTAATAACACTGTATTGCGAAACAAACCCTGAATTGAAGTCAAGAGTTTAAAAAGCCAGTGTATGACTAATAATAACATATGCTTCAGAAATTAGACCTGGCACAGCCACAACGTAAAGGCTACTGAAAACTGCAGAGATGAAAGTACTGAGAAGAGTTACAGGAAATACGCTGAGAGATCGAAAGAGAAGTGAAGACATTAGAAGAAAATGTAATGTACAATATAAAAATCAATGGACACAAAATAGCAAAAAAGAATGGGATAACCACATAAGCAGAATGGAGGAGACCAATGTCGTCAAAATAGCAAGAGATGTCACCAATCGTCAGAAGTATCGAACTATCGCGCGAAAGATGGAGTGACCACTTTACATAGAGGTATTAGCCTGCCAATGAACAAGCAGAATTGATTATATTAAGAAAGAAGAAGAATAAACAAATTGTAGTACAGATTATTCATTGAACCTTATAAATATTGCTCTGTCATTTAAGGCCCAAAAAAAAATTTGATTGAAAATTTTTAGTTATTTTTGTCTATAACTTTTTATTTTACACTTTAAGGTAAAATATAATAAAAATAAATTTATAGGCAATTTTACTTGCTACACATAATGTTTAATACAATTTTCTGTGTGGTTAATAGTTTACAAGATGCAGCGCAAAAACCCTTTGCACCCCTTTTTCCAAGATGGCGATTATTCAAGAACTAGGTCAAATTCGGAGCGCTGTAAATCCCAGAAAAATTAATGAAATTTAAAAGTTTTGTAGTAAAAATTATGCTTTTGACAACCGTCTATATAATTATTGCTCAAATGTTATTTTATTGTAAAATAACCAGAAAAAAAGTGATAAGCTCCTAAAGAAAATTTGTATAAGAATTTTTAGTTATTTTTGCTCATACCTTTTTTATTTTTTATTCTAAGGTAAACAGTGAGAAAAACAAAACTGTAAACGATATAATTTGCTACAAATAACGTTCAAAATTTCTTTCTATTTCTCAAGATAGAGCGCGTAAACCATTTGCACCCCTTTTTCCAAGATGGTGGTTTGGGGACCTCACAAGGGTGGCTACCTACAAAATTGAACTTAAGCTTATATTTACCCTCCTAACACACAAAAAAGAAATAAACCATGGACTTTATAAAAATATCGGCAAAAAAGACGGAAGTAATGGCGTTGGATTAATAATCTCGTTCCACCTCGTTATAATTTCCTTTCCTTAAGTTATTTAATACTAATTGGCATTAACATTACTAACGAATAACTTCTCTAAGAAAATTCTAACGAGGTGTAATGAAATGATTATTAACCGAACGGCATAATTTTCGTCTTTTTTGTCGATATTTTCATAATGAAAGTCTGACGCTAGGTACGGTTTGTACATGGCTTTTTGTATATTCCCAAAGTTATTTGCAAAAGTTGTTTCAAATATCAAAAGTATTCTAACCTCACATACCAAATTTCATAATACAATTTGCACTTTTATTTTTTTTTTTTATTATTTTGGTCGGTATTCAATAAACTAGTGTGTCATGGAAAGACAAATCTGTACAATATCACAGAATAATCAACAATCAGAATGCCCACTCTCAGATGCCGCCTTTGAAGTTTTTCAGCACGCACGCCATGTTTTAGAAGGAAACACATAACACAGACATATGATTTGTGAGGTTATGTCATTGTTTATATTTAGGTTTAGTTATATTATATTTGTGTTATTATATTTAACAATGTTAGTATAATTGTATAGTATGTCTATGATTGCCGTAAGTCAATTAAACCGGGTTAATTTTTCTATACACACCACATAAACAACACTGGTTCCCTCTAAAACATGGCGGAATGTCTGCGCGAACGAGATGCGCGTAGTTAATTTTCCATGGAGAGTGGGCATTCTGATAAAAATATTAGAATATGCATAACTACTTACTTAAACTCTTGCAATATGTGCAGCATACTACAAATATCTCTACTTCTACTTAACTGTCACCACTTGCTTTTTTTCCTCCAGTATTTTTCCATTTCTTCTTGTTTTAAAGCGATTTTTATTATATTTATTCTTGAGAAGAATAAATAAAGAAAAGGAAGTCATATTTACGATCAAAAAACAAAAACTGCAATACTTGGGACACATTACAAGAGGCGAAAGATATGAACTGCTTCGAATATATATGCAAGGGAAAATAGCAGGAAAAAGGTCCATAGGAAGAAGACGAAACTCCTGGCTAAAGAATCTACGGGAATGGTATAGCTGTAGCAACAACGAATGGTTTCGGTCAGCAGTTTCGAAAATACGTATAGCCCTGATGATCGCCAACCTTCGGAACGAAGATGGCACTTGAAGAAGAAGTTTATTGTATTACCAGCATATCCCAAGTTATTGTTTTTTTTTCTGCAACCGATATTCCACCCCTTCATCCGTCTAGTAGGTTTCGGATAATGTATTCACTGTAAACAGAATTGGAGAGAATATACGACCCTTTCTGACAACAGCTTCTGTCCTGAAATTATCAGAATGAACGTGTGTTCATTTTTACTGGGCACTTTTTATTTTCGTATAGACGTCTTACTAGAAGAATGAAGTAGTCAAATCTTTGTTTATTGACATTGACATAAAAGCTTAGACTACACATAACTTAGAGACAAGAGGTAAAAATTAGATGACTAAAAATAAATGAAGAAAAGACGAAGTATAATATGTTAACTTTAGTAACCGTAGTACTTTATAAGTTGTAACTTTTTTCCGATGATCTTGAATCTTGCGCGCGCTCATATATTGGTTAACTATAGTCTTTAAGTCACTATTAGTACTTATTGATATTCAAGGAACTCAGCTAGGATACTGTGAACATGTTCAAATTAGAAATCAGCGTCTTGTGGCTACACCTCACAGTTAATGTCACTTATTTTGTAATATCGTTATAAAATTAAAGATTTTTGTTTAAAACCTGTTATTTTTAGGTGGATTGGGTTCCTAGTACACCAAAAAATATTAAGTCATAAAACAATACTTTTAAAAATATTGTTTTTACATGGTATATTGAGAAAGAATCTAACTTGTAAACTATATAGAAAATGGATATGATGTCTAAGAAGAACATGAATATCGACCTTCAAGTGAAAGTGATCATATAAATCAATAATTTTTAAAGGATAAAAATATTGATGAAGAATTAGACCAAAAGAATGAGGATCAAATTGAAAAAGAGAACTATTATGGGAAAGATCGACAAAAGTGGGCGGTAAATAAACCTATAACGAATGTGCGAACTTCACAATATAATATAGTCATAACCCTACCAGGATTAGAATGTCCTGCTCGTACTTAACCCTCCGTTACTCGCGCCTATTTCAGGAACGTGTCAACTCGCGGGGTGTCTGCAGCACCCCATTATTTTATCTTATTCTTTGTTTAAAGTAATAAAATCCAAACTTTTTTTTATATTTCAGGTATATGATGTTAAAAATTTGTCACAAAATAAAACTATTTATTTCAGCAAATATTGCAGTCTACATGTGTAGTCGCTGAATTTTATAAACATAGATTTTAGGAATAAAATTGCACACAACTGAGCAAAAATAAAAAAAATAAATAAATAAAGTAAAAAAGGTGAAAGCAAAAATTTTTTATTATATATAAAGAACAATATACAAACTTAGAATAAATTTACTGGCCTCGGTAGCATGCATCACATATTGTGTTCATATGGCTTAGGAACATATTTTTATTGCAATTTTTGCAACCAGTCTTACATTTAATGTCTTTTGCTCGTGGACATATAGTGCATCTTGCCTTTTTTATAGGCACATTATCATTGTTTGTTCATGCATTACCTAGGACTCTTTTCAAAGAGTTTGGAATAGATTGTATTTGTGACCTAGCTTCCATCTGTGGTTGTACCAGAGTAAATCCAATCTCTTCTAGAAACTTCGATCTGGGAATTTTTTTAGTAGGATTATCAGAGAAATAAACGATGTAGGAATTAATTGCAGCTGTATTTAACAAATGACAAAATATCCTCAAGGGCCAACGACTACAAGTTCTTGACACATTATATGTCTGGCATTTTTGGTCTACACTATAAACCC